CCTATAGCATTGCTCAAGCTTTGCAGATTGAAATGGAGAGCAACCTACCAAAACCAGAACATTCAGAACAGCAAAACAACTCTTTTTTAGCACAAGCAGCTCAACTGCTTCAACAAGGTTTGAGGTAAATGCAATTTAGAGTAGGCAAAGTGATTTTCCTCCACCCACAGTCTCAGACTCTGCATCTGTGAAGCAAAAAACCTCAGAACACCAAAAAAACAGAAGAAACACTTTATGAATGCATTTGGCACCGCGCTCGGCTTTCGCCACGGAGAGTAACTGGGTAACAGCGGGTCCCCGCCGCTGGCTTTTGGCAGAGGTCCCCCCCAGGGGCAGGGAACAGGACAGCAGGACGAAGGACAGACTCACGGGATCGACAAAGTCAGCGTTGAGCCCATAGCAGAGCTTCTGGATGCGCGACGTGATCTTGTCGAACATGACACGCTCTTGGCGTCCATCTGTCGGGGGAGAGGTCACTGTCACAGCGCTCCCGTCACAACACAGAACCAGGTCAGCGCAGCACCCTCCCACCCAGCACCTCGCACGAGGAGCCAGCCCTCTTTTGGGGGAACTGGGGTGGGAATCACAGAGGACAACCTGTGTGGGTTCTCTGTTCAGGCCCAAGGAGCAGAGAGGCTGTCCCTCCACCCCAGCACACTCTTGCTGCAGGTGATCTACCTTTCTCCGTGGGATCCCCCTCTCAAGGGTGCAGGGCTCGGTACAGCGTAGAAATAAAACGAGGGAGCTCACACCCCGTCAAGAGGAACAGGAGTACCCACTACTGGGCCAAGAAATTCCCACCCCACTACACCCAAAACTTTGCACACACTCAGTTCTCAGGAACACTGGTGCAGAGATGGACCCCAGCTGATGGCCAGACCCCCAAAAGCTGGGGGTCCCTCCTCCAGCCAAGCCCTCTCCTTTGATCAGAGTTGCGGGGACCAAGCCCAAAGCTCGCTGCTGGGTGGGCGGGGGTCTCCCAAAGCAAACCGAGGTGTCTCACCCCTCACTCTGGGTGTCACAAGGGGAGCTCCCTCCCTCCGGGGTCCCGCCAGTGCAGACGGGGTGCCATCCCCTCACACTCGGTGTCTGCCCCCAAAGCAGAGGGGATCCCACCCTTCTGCCCTCGGTGCCATGAAGGAACCCCCCCAAAACAGGAAGGGTGTCCCCCATCTACTCACTGTAGAGAGTGAGCAGGTGGGGACCCCTGCTCCCATGAGAGGGACCTCTCAAAGTAGAGGGGGTCCCATCCCCAACACCGTGTGCCATGAGAGGGACCCCCCAATGCAGATGGGGTCCCATCCCCTCACACCAGGCGCCATAAGAGGGACCCCCAAAAGCAGATGGGGTCCCATCCCCTCACACCGTATGCCCTGAGAGCGACCCCCCAGAACAGATGGGGTCCCATCCCCTCACACCAGATGCCATAAGAGGGACCCCCCAATGCAGATGGGGTCCCATCCCCTCACACAGGGTGCCATGAGAGGGACCCCCCAAAACAGAGGGGGTCCCATCCCCTCACACAGGGTGCCATGAGAGGGACCCCCCAAAACAGAGGGGGTCCCATCCCCTCACACAGGGTGCCATGAGAGGGACCCCC